ATTGCAAGGATCCAGGAAATCCCCTAATGCAAGAAGCCAGCTATCCAAAACACTGTTTGTCAAAGGTCTGTCTGAGGACACAACTGAGGTAACATTGAAGGCGTCATTTGATGGTTCTTTTTGAGCCAGGATAGTCACAGAGCCCAAAATGGGCTCCTCCAAAGGGTTTGGGTTTGTAGACTTCAACAGTGAGGAAGATGCTAAAACTGCCAAGCAGGCCATGGAGGATAGGGAAATTGATGGATGCAAAGTTACCTTGAACTGGGACAAACCTAAGGGTGAAGGTGGCTTCGGTGGACAAGGTGGAGGCTGAGGAAGATTTGGAGGCAGAGGTGGCCATGGCTGAGGAGGCCAGGGTGGATTTGGTGGCAGAGGTCAGGGAGAATTAGGAGGGCAAGGAGGCTTCTGGGGAGGCAGAGGAGGAGATCACAAGCCACTAGAAAATAAGATGAAGTTTGAGTAGATCTTCTGTCTCTGTCTTTTCCCTCTTCCATTGAAAGCAAGGACTCTGGGGTTTTTACTCTGTTACTGGATCATGACATTCCCAGACAATAGCCTTCTGTGGTCTACTTAGAAATCTCATGGAACAGATTTCAAACGGAGCTGCCCTTTTTTTTTACTGGATTTGAATTTATATTAAGTTTTACCCCATGTACAAAACCATTTTTTTCCTACAAATATTTTTTGTTTTGTTTTAATTGGGGTGGTGTAAAGGCAAGCAGAATGTTTTATCATGGTTTTTACTTCAGCAACTTTGAGGCAAATGTAAAAGTCCTAAACTCTGGGGGGAAAAAAGGAATTGGAAAGGATGACAAAAGGGAGTTTTCAATCCTTGTTCCAATTACATCCAATAAATTTTTTGAATCTTATTAAATCAGACTTTTCAATTAGCTGGTTATCGTCTGCTCATATATATCACCTATCTTCTTCTGGGACTGGAACTGACAATTTAGCTTAATTTCATCTGATATCAACTAACATTTTAGTTCAAATGTATGATAACTAAAATTGATAGCTTGAAATGTGCTTAGAATGTCACTTAGCACACAATGTGAGCTAGTTTGTCAACTTTTGATCTCTCGATTTTGTGGCATGGTAAAACAAAAGAAGAAAGTTATATGATCACAAAAATAGAAACATACTTTGAACTCCTCTGATTGTATCATAGGAACATTTTTTAGTTGTATTTTACTTATCTAATTTTAATCTGCCAGAAGAACAAGCAAATATGTCTCCTTAGAAGCAAGAATGGAGAGACTTTGTCTCTGA